AATATATACATCAAATATTCTCTAAACTTTTCATTATTTACAATTCCACCCATCAACTTCTTATTCTTTTTAATCGAGTCCTCCCATCATTCCTTTATTTCAATTCTCTTCTATTTTTCTCCCTTTACACTTGTACAAATAAATGTCAAATTCATACTCCACTAAGGTGTCACCATAATATTTAAACATATACTTACTCTTTCTCACTTAATTTAATAAAGGCACATGGGCCACACTAAAGCTTCCTTTCTTCGAAATATTTCTTACTTCCACTCCCCTACTTAGACAAATTGTACAAATCACACATTCTTCATGTAATATATCCAATTTGACATCGTTGTTATTTTAATATTATTTTTATGCAAAAATTATTATTTTTATGCAAAAATTATTATTTTATTTCAAAATTGTCTCTAGCCTTCTGGGGTTCCAAAATACCTTACTTTGCCCCGGTTTAGCTCTATAGCACCTTTTTAACTCCACAACTTTGACCTCAATAAGATATTATTATTTTATCTCATAAGAAATATTCCAAAATATTCCTTTCACCCTTCAACACTCTTAAACACTTTAATTAACCTCAATTGGTATCCAATAAGTTCTATTAGTCACCATATCAAAGTACGAGGTGTTACATCTTTAAACCCTTGACATAATCTTCTACATTACCTCACATCTTCTTAATCACATTTTACTTAGTTATTTTACCATAAAATAGTAGGCATTTAGCTAACTTAATTACCATGAAATCAAGACATATTCCAAATTAATCGAAACATATTCATGTCCATATTCCACAGCTAAAACATAAACCTAGTTGCTTAAAATTACAGTCTCATACCTTCCAAATTTTCATGACCATTTAAAGACATATTATAGACAAACAGACTTCTAGCGGTGGAGTGACTCGAGAAGAAGTACTATGAGATGCTTTTACTTACATCGAAGTAAACAAAAAATTCATCAAGGTATACACTAAGTTGATCACTTATCTGCAAAATAGAAATATTAGGGTGAGTTTCACTGACTCAATAATCACCAGCTCAATGAATGGGGCAAAGATGGGAAACAAGCATAAAACGGGAGCATTTGAATAATAAAATCAAAATGTAAAGTAATAACATTATGAACTAAAACGGGGTGAGTGCCTTGCAATCAAGATACATAAACTATAGTGTAATGTAACCAATATAAGATTCATGCGTACGCAATGTGTGATTAAATAAAATAGATTTAAACAAGGAAAACATTGGGTGTATTTTGCATTTGTAATAAGGTAGATCATGTATGTGCACACTCCCATTACAAGTGTGGCATGTAAAACTATTTCGGATGCATCCACATGATAATGCACTAATGCTTCAAATATCCATGCACAAAATCTTTACATATAAGGGAGCAGCGAAAAAATAAAACATGTTGCACCATGCCAAAAATAAGATCTTAGTTTGAAAATAGGGGCTGCTCTCGAGTACGTCATTAGCCCATGGGCACTCTCCCACATAATAATATTTCAGAGATCCACTCCCCTTACTTCCTATGCCAATGGTATACCGTATGTCAAGGTGGCCAACAAAAGAGGAGCATGCTCATAACCCGTAGTCATAGCCACATAGGCCTTGCCACGTATATACAAGCCCATTGGATTCCCCAAAATAGCCTCTAGCTAGAGCTTACTTGAGCACAAGGGTCACACAAAGTCTGATGTGACAATAGTACCTATTCTCAATTATCATGGTTTAACAAAATCACAACTTTCAAAATAGCACAAGGTTTTCAAAATAATCAGTTCATAAACTTTTCAAAAGAAAGATGCAACACCAATTATAAATCTTGTTCCATATGTAATGCATGGTGAAAAATAGCATGTATAAAAATTTAGACTTAAATCAAATCATGATAATCATATAATATGATTGTTTGCAATATGCAACTAATTATGCAAGTCACACAACATTGCCAGGCACAATTTGAAGCATATCATTATGACGAGCTTGTTTCTTGGTTTTCCAAAAAAATTTATATATATATATATATATATATATATATATACACACCCACACCGGAGCAAAGGTATTACTTTTAAATCAAAGTATTTTGAAATACAGTTTCTTTTCTGAGTTCTAGTTTTAGTTGTTTGTGGTACTGTGTTGATTCTTGCTGAGTCCTTGGGAAACTAGTCCGTTAAAGTCGAGGGTTAGGCGTCGTTCGGACATATTTCCCCCTATAGGCAAATTCACTCTAGCAACCACAAAACAATAGAAATCCCCCATGTAGGAAAAGAAACCTGTTATCCCAAAATGCTTTCTTTTTTAATAAATACCTTTTGTTCTAGTTCCAGTTCTAATCAAACTCAAACAATCAACGAGGAAAACATACATTATGAAAATATAATTCAAGAGATAGATAATTGAGAAATACCAAGAGTACCCAAAATCAAAATTACAAATCTTCAACATTTCATGCATTGCATTTAAATTCTTTCTGTGATTATTTAATCAAAACCAAAGAAAAAAGGATGCCCATCCAAAATCAATATGAAAATATCCAACTTCTGGATCTAGAGACAATTAATAAACTCAAAACCCAAAAATATAATTATATCCATTTCGGATTAATTCAAGTAGGAGCAAAGCCTCTAACAAAAGACGGGTTAGACAGCTCAATACTTATTGTGTTAAGAGATAAAAGATATCTACACTTTAATGATTCTCTGTTAGGAACAGTAGAAACAAGCCTCTGTAGAGGGCCAATACATTTTAACTACTTTCTAAATTTTATGGTCTCTTTAAAAGACAGAAACATTTTAAATTCATTAACTTTACAAATTCAAACACACAATTATAAAATGATGCCAGGATCTGAACCATTGACTGTGGTTTACAAATTATATTATAAGGCTATGTATTCAGTAATAAACACTAAGGCTTTAATCCATAGCCCAAAAGGAGAAACATTACTAATACAAACATATATGTCTAGGTCCCACATAGTGATACCTAGGACTATCCAATGGCATGAAATTCAGCTCCCAAATAAGTGGAAAATAGAAAGAGCTACTAATCTTATTCCTATACAAAACACTGAAATAAATCACGTAGCTGAATATAGGGATGGTTTGGTAGAACTTGTCTTCAACAGACCACCAAGAATACCTTCTAGAAAATCTTTTGATGCAAACATAGTCATCAATATAGAATCCCCATCCATTACAGGTACAGACTTTAGGACAGCCAGAGCTTCTGTATCCTCAATACCTTCAGTTAGAACAAACTTACAAAGTATAGACAACTCCTCTGAAATACCACAACCTATATATAATAGGCAAAAAAACACGCCTTCAAATTTTTCAAATATATCTCCAACATATTCATCAATGACAAATAACCCAAATCTACCCTCAAATCAAGAAAATAATTCAGAAATATTTGTACTAGAAAAAGAATTTAAAATTGATAAAGAACGGTGTAGGAAACATTTTTACTCTGATAAAAATAAACAAAAAAGAAAAAATTATTTCAAAAAATATGACTAGCAAAAAGATGAAATTTTAGAAAAATATTATAATTTCATGCAAAAACATAAAATATTAACTGAATTTTCTGAATGGTTTGAAAACTATAAAAAACCACAAATAAATACTGTGAAAAATACAAATAAATGGTAAACAAATAAAGATGAAATAGAAACCCAACATCCTCCTCTCACAGAATTACAAAATTCTCATAAAAATATAGGTATTAGAGCAACTCCTCTAAGAATGAGATCACCTGATTCAGGAGAAGCTATTACCCCAAGAGATATAAAAATGGTAGTTGAACAAAACAATTATACAAATCTAAATTTACACACCATCTCAAAACAATTGGAAACTATAGAAACGATACTGCAAAATCAACCTCAATCCCAAAATATTCAAAACCCAAAAAATTCAGAAACAACAATACCTATATTTGTCACTTTTGAAATACCAAGAAAATATCAACAAACTAATCAAAATCAATTTTTAAGAGAAATACAAGACAGAATTGATGCTTTAGAAAGCCAAAACTCAAGAATAGTAGCGGATACTCAAAGACAAAATCATATAATCGATACTATTGATAATGATTCTGATTCATCTCAAGATAGTACAAAAAATCAACAAATTGATAAAATGGTTTGGAAAGAACCTCAAAAACTTTATTATCCTAAAATAACAACCCCAGACATCAATATTGAAGACAAACCAATATTCCAAAACAAATATAATGTCAATACTATATATGAATAGAATATTGATGGCATGTCTAGATATAATATTCTTAGCATACTTCAACAAATGACAATGGTTTCTAACGTATATAAAACTCAAAACCAAATTGGTCAAATCATAGATCATGCAATAGTGCACCTTTTAGTTGCTGGTTTTACTGGACAACTAAAAGGATGGTGGGATAACTATTTAACAACAAATCAACAGCAAGAAATTTTAAAAACAGTCAAGAAAGACAATGAAGGAAACACTATAATAGACAACCAAGGAAGAGAAATTCAAGATGCAATTGCAACCCTCATCTTTTCAATAT